ATTATTATTATTATTAGTTTTTATATTAGTGATGGAAGTATTTTCATAATATTGTGCTTTCTTTTTCAAGTGGCCTTCCTATGAGATGACAACTACACAACACAACACAAAACACACAAAATACACCACTGGTTCCAGAAAATAATATAAATAAATTTAGAGCTGAAACGATTGTTTGCAACATCGGTCAAACTGTCAATCAGATTCTCAAATGAATCGATAAACCAGTCGATTTATTAATCAAAAATAAAGTTTGGGTTCAGAACTACCAGTTGACCACAATCCACCGATAATCAGCCATCAATTGACCTTTCGTTGAAGCTCTAAATAGAACTTGTCTATGTCTGTCTATAAGTAAATAAATATTCTTAATCTTCATGTCTCTTATTTATATAATGTTTCATAGGAGTCCATGGCCAGTCTGAGTTTTAGACACCTGATATAGCAGCTTTCAGACAAATAAAATGCAAAGTGCTTCACAAGCAAACAGAACAGATACAGGAGACCAATGCATGCCAACACAACAGAAAGAAGAAAGAAAAAAGAAAGAGTTAATTAAATAAGACAACAATAAAAGATGAGTTATTAAGATATTAAAAAATAATAGCAATAAAACCAATAAAAACGAATAAAATTAGGAAATACTACACAAAACAACAGATTATAATAAAAGGCTAAAACGTTAATAAAATAAAACATCTACACAAAAACGACCTTTAAAAGTGTTTAAAGCCAGAACAGCCCCGCGTGCTCAGCCTGAACTGAACTGCTGTGACGCTGCTGCACCCGCGTGGCGTCCGGATGTCGATACAGCTGAACGTTAAATGAACAATAAACAACAGCCCGCCCTCTGGCGCCACCCAGTGGCCACACATCGGCGACCCCCACTGTCGAGCAGTCTGTGAACATGAGGTGACCTATTGTGACCTTGGAGGGGGTCAGCACCTCGCCTCACCTTTAGTAAGGGCGTCGTTAGGGTCGTCGTTAGGGCCGTGACGACACGTTGTAGAAACGTTCATTCGACGAGGTAAACGTCATCATACTGTTGTGTGTGAGCTGTTTTTAAACCAGTAAAAGTTTAGAGAAAAGCCTCGAGCAGCAGCGACGCTGTGACGTGCCACGCAAGAGCGGCCGTAGGGGTCAGTGACGTCATGCGCAGAAGGAGAATTTATAAAAAAAAAAAAAAAGTCTTTAATAAAGTTTCATTGAAGCATTTTTCTATGGGAGTTGTTTTTCTCAGTTTTCCAGTTATTAAATAAATAGAAAATACAGTTACTGGAACAGCTTAAAGGACCTCCAGGAATTACCCTGAGGATATTAGGTCTGTTTAGTAAATAAAAGCATAAAGGGTTCATTCACTCTCAAAATAGACCCAACCCTTCAGGAAGATTCTGCAAGTCTTTTTTAAATGTAGATTAATATATCCTTCAGTTCCCATTTACCAATATCTACCGACCTATCTGATATTTGTGTGTTCATCTTTTTTATTGTAGCATTTCCTAGGTTTGGAAGGAAGCAACTTTGCTTAGATAGGAATGTATGGTAGTGTGATATTATATAACGTGATACTTTAGAAAGAGAACCTTATGATCATTCCATATTATTTAAAACATTAAAAATGCTTTAAACCTGCAGTTTATTCATAAAATGCACCTTCAATTTTAAACGGCTGAAGAAAGCCATGGGTTGGTCAAAAGATCTGGAAAAAGCTAGAAAGTGAACCTTGAGTTACAGTGTTTTAGTGATTCTGTGTATAAACCCTGCACTATTTCATCTGTCTATTATCTAGAACAGCTGGAACAGCTGGTCAGTTCATCACAGGGCTGACACATACAGACAATCAACCATTCATTCTGATTTATTTTATTTTATTTATAATTAATTTATATCATGTTCTATATGGCCTATACTGTGTTATACTTGAGATTCACTAAAGAAAATAACATATAGACTACATTTACTCAAACAAATGCATTTTAAATTACATTCTGGTAAAAAATAATTGATTCATTGATTTGGTATTTGGGTATTTTCAGGGCTGTTACAATAAAACATAAAAGTTATATTGTCCATGTGACAATGACTCAACATAAAAAGGTAATGGAGAAAAAACAAAAGATAATTATATTAATTTGAACTCATTTTAAAGTTACTTAAAAAGTAAGCTGCTTTCTGATGATTCATGAAGGAAACACATTGATGATTGATGACACATAGCAAGAACCAGTCAGACAAATAATAATAAGTTATTTATTATGATGTTGTCAATCAATACAGTGTATAAATGCAGATCAAATCCTCTTCATTTTAAAACTGTTTATTTCTTTGTTTTACAATTGTGACATTCTCTTCATTAATCACAACAGTGAACAGAAAGCAGTTTTTTTATAAGTCGAGAAATACCATCCATTCAGGTCACAACGGCCACGAGAGAGAGGACGCTGCAGAGAAGAAGTAAGCTTTTGAGAAAGTGTTGAATGTTTCAAAGCCTCCTGTCTGTGTGTGTGTGTGTGTGTGTGTGTGTGTGTGTGTGTGTGTGTGTGTAGGGACAGTGTGGGTAAAGGAGGTCAACGAGACATCTGTTCCTTTCCTCGACAGCCATCTTTGCCTCCCAGACACGGCAAGAGAACTTCAAGTGATAAAACTTGTGATTTGACTAAGTGTGTCTGTTCATTGTGTAACTCTTACTCTCTGCAAACATTCCCGGCAGCGTTAACTGTAAGAACATTCGATCATTATCAGCCGTGTCACTAGAGTCTTAGCGTCAATTGACGTCATTGAAATGATTACATCTGAACTCCTCGATAGGCTTTACGTAAAGCCATTTTAGCACCAGTTACATCCAGGCTTCACAAGTCTGAACCTAATTAGTTAAATACAATTTAAGTTAAAAAAAACAAAAACGTTTTCATTAACATTTTAAATATTCTCCATATTCATCAGAAAATAAGACAGCTCTAAAATTACCTCACTAATCAAAGCAGTTTGAAGATAAACCTTTGATTTTTGAAAAATATGCAAAAGCCACCAAGTGAGTCATCACAATGTGTCAATGAAATAAAAGGAAGTGGGATCAATGTGAACCGCAGTAGTGAAATAAATACAAAACATGAACCTGAACTCTAAAAGTCAAACTTACTTACTCGCACGAACACTGAAAGCGCACACAGACAACAGTTCACCCTTATTGTCGTTTCATCTAGATACAGTAGCCATTTGCACATTAACATCCCTTAACCGTTCATCATACTGCTGCTGCCGTGGTTACCAAGGCTCAGGAATGCCATCCTTCCAGTCAGGGCAGCCAGCCAGTCGAACACGATGAGTATCTCAGCAACGCCGGAGGAGCCGGGGCCGAAACTCCCCGGGAACACGGTGATCCCTGGTGAGAACGTCACCACCCACTCCCCCAGATGGTCACTGGCACAGCAATACATGAGCACACCGGGCGAGCTCATCTCGAGTGGCCGACAACCTGCCGAGGGGCCCCAGGAGTTCATTACCGACTGTGCGGCCTTCACACAGCGTCTGACCCCCCCGCCCCTCGATTCCCTTTTTAACACACAGATTAATAATAGCACCCAGCTGCGTTGGGAGATGGGCAGTCATTTCTCAATGTTCACATATGAATAGGTGACTGATGTTGGCACGTGTTGCTCTCTGTTAGGGGGGGGGGGAGTGTGTTTCTGTGTGTGTGTGTGTGTGTGTGTGTGTGTGTGTGTGTGTCTTCATGCCCATACAATTACCAGAAGTGGCATAGCAGCTGTCCAGGAACTAAAATCAGTCCGTATTTGCACATGCATCCATGCACTAAAAACAATGTGAGCATTGCCAACAAAAAGGTCAAGGAATGGGTTAATTCTTCTGTTTTTGTTATGGACTCATACCAAGTTTATTCCAACAGGAAATAAAAGTTTGTCTGATCCAGATGTTTTCTTTATCAGTCCATAGGTTTCTGTAGAGTGAGCGTTCTTCTTCATAAAGTGCTTTTGCATCATCTTAAAAACATCACATTTTTACCTCTTTGGTATCCAAAAAAAAGGATGAACCCTCTTGGCAGAACACTTTTCTTATAAAACATTCTTTTTTTTTTTTTAGAATAGAGGCAATTTCCAAAGAGTGTCCCTTGAGCTGAGATCATCCTCCAGGTGCAGAACTTGTAGACCAGAGGTGCTACTTTGTATATCGTCCAAGACTAGAAGTGGCTCTCAGTGGTTTCTTCTGGCCTTTGGAGAATTGGCGTAATACAAAGTCAAAGTTTGCTGTTGTGGACATGGCATAGAAGACGTTTGCTTTGTCTGGTATGAGCAACTCTGAAAACAGAAAAAAAAAGATAAATTGTCAATTTTCTTTCTCTCAGCATTATTTCAACAATCCTTTTGATGGTAGAGTCATTATGTTCTCACCCCTTTCTTGGGAGATGACCTGGGTCAGGGTGAAGTCCCGCCAGTTCATGTGCTCAAGGTGATGCTTCTCCAATGCCCTTTGAATCACCTGTGGAGTCTTATCCTGACTGGTCAACTATGAAACACAAAGAATCATAAATGCTATTAAGGACACTTTAATGATGACTGAGTAGTGAAAATCTCATTCTCGAGGATAAACTCACCATGATGCTTTTGTACATGTTGCCGTTGTTGTGGCCCAGGTCCACGCTCACCCTCACTATACACGAGTCGGCCACCTGGCGGTTATACACAGGCAGGGAGGTCATGGACACGGAGCGCTTGTGGTGGGAGGCCAGAGCAGGCTTTTGCCAGGTGCCGGCGCATGAAGCGGCCGGAGGGCAGAGATCTGTCTGGCAGTCGGAGGGGGAGGACGAGGAGCTGGAAGAATTAGGGGAGTCTGGAGAGGAAGCCGCTGAGGAGCAAGGGGATGACGTGGAAGAGGAGGACGATGAGGAAGAGAAGGCCTCGGACACGTTGTTGCAAGAGCTGTGAAAGGACTGCAGAGAAGACGAGACAAAAACAAGAGGAAGAATATTGATGACTGGAAAAATGGTTAGAGCATCTGCAGAGAACAAATGAGCTATTGATGGATGGTGCAGCAGTGAGAGCTGTGCACCATTTAACTAACCCTACTCCAGTTCAGCTAAGGACCTGATCATTTGAAATTCCACTTGTTGAGGGCTCGTGGTAGTTTCACTGGCCCTCTAAAGAGGAGCTTTTGTGAAGGGAGATTATGTAAGCTTTCCGAGTTTTAAAAGCCATTCAGTGTATTTTACTTCTTATTAGAAATGCTTTGGGGGTTTGTTGCTACTTAAAAACAGGACAATTGTTTGTGAAGTGTAAATAGTGGTGATGTTGTGCTGAACACAGAGGCCCATTAGATGAAGGCACAGCATGACAAAGCTGTCAACAATGAATCCATTGTTGGCACACAACTGAGGACAAAGCATAGACATAAAACAAGGCTATTAGACAATGAAGAAGATACACACACACACACACACACACACACACACACACACAGGCAAACAGCTGTTTACCTGCAGTCTGATGGAACAGGCTGAGTTTGGGGAGGAGAGGTCCTCCATCTCAGATCCACTGGATCCAGAAGATGTAACGCTGATCTGGTCAGCAGGGACTTTTTTAGATCCATCGCTCGCTGTCAGGAGGCTGAAGACAGAGATTAAATTTGAGCTTGTATCAAAGCAGCCAGAATTTTTTTTTATGACAATAATAATGCTGTTTTATATATAATTATGCAATATTACAGACTGTATTTCCCTTTAACTGTGTATCGAAACATCATACAATATATCATACGGTTTCCTTTCATGTTGCGGCAAAAAAAGGGTTCAGCAAATACTTTTTGCTGACTGACTGTGTGTTTACATGTTGTACGTGCAGTTCTGTGTGCATAGTTAAATGTGCATGCACCGCGTGTTTGAATATGAAAATGAGAACACAGATGATACTCACAAGGAGAGTTTCTTTGTGAGTGTGCGGTGGCTCCATGGAGTTGGCGAACACAAGTCCACTGGAGGCTCCAGCTGCCTCGACAGTTCATAACTGTAACACACACACACATAAATCAGTACTGCAGTCCTCTATATATATCTATGTATATTTCAGATATAGGGAAACTTTGTTCTTATTACTGATTTGTCAGTCTACAGGCATTTTGATTGGTGATGTCTTGTTGAAGAATTAGTTGTCTTCAGTTTTTATTAAGTTGAGTTGAATGAATACCCTTAAAACAAAAAGTCTGATGACTTTGTAATCATTTTTCACTATAAAAAAAACACTATATATATATATATATATATTATAATAATTACAATCATCACTTGAGATCTCCATAAATGGTAAAGCTTGTTTCATATTTTAAAACTGATTATTGCCATAACACACAAATGTTCTGATTACAAATTGTTATGTTGAATCTAATGTTATTCAATTATATTACATAAAAATTATTATTATTATATTAGTGAAAATTTTATACTTTTTTTATGTTTTAGTTTTCTTTGGGTAAGACTTTTCGTTATCTGTTCAGCCATATCAGTTTTTTTCTTCAGATCCAAACACACCTTCGTGGCATCAATTTTGTGCATATTGCTTGTAGTTTGAGTAACATAAATCTCCCCAACATCTGTTTTTTTAAAGCAGAAGTACATCAAATGTAAAGATTTTATGAACTCTGCCTACGATGAGCTGCATCACTACTGAGTTAGGTTATATAAAAATGTGACTAATTACTGCATAATAAATGTCAAATGAGAGTTTCTTTATGGCAACGTACCCATGTCTCACACCATTACTCAGTATGGTGGGACAATTTGATCAATTATAATGCATACTGCACCCAACATCTTTATTCGTCTTTAATGACAGAAGAAGAATCTTTACAACCTATGTAGCTAACTAAACTTTTATTGGGCTTTTAGTTGGCTTTCCTCTGCTTGTGACGCAGGTTTGTTATGTGAAGGGGTAAATAAAACGCGTCCTTTAGTTCACCTCTCCTGGTCCGTGAGCAGCTTGTGACCCTGCAGCCAGGCATCGATCCTGGGGTGATGGGGTAGGTTGTACTGAGAACAGGAAGTCTGCAGCACGCGGATCTGTGACAGAACCTCAAACTCCTGTAGGGAGAGAGAAATGTGGCTGGATAAATAGAGTGACAGAGACGGCAAGATGTCCTGACTCCTGACATCTGTGTGTTTGCATAACCTGCCTGCAACAACAAGCTGCAACACTATGGTATTTCAAACAGCTGCAGAGCTGTAGTAAAATGTCCTTTAAAGAGGTGTGTAAATGTTTAAAAAGGAACACCAAAGGTCTTCTAGCTTTTAGCCTGTCATGTACTAAAAAGTGTCAGAAAATGTCCCTCTCTGTTTGCTTTGACAATGCAAACATACCGTACACACCCAACCACACAGGCATGTACTGTAGTGCTGACAGAATGTAATGTGGACACCTTTGTGCTTTTGAGCACTATGTTCAAAATAAAAATAAATAAAGAGGAATACATAAAAGATGACACAAAGAGGAACCACTTACCCTCCTCCTCTTCTCGAAGTTTATGAGCCCACCCTGTCAGAAGAGCAGAATGTTAGTACAGTACTTATTTATTGCATATGTCAATGATTAATTTGATCAAGAAATGAACAAAAACACTACAGTAACACTTCATGCTAACATACTCTATTATATAAGCAGTATAGCAATTATTAATGAATGTTTTAGCTGTAAGCAGTGTTAAGAACCTTTTCAAGTGTTTTAAAGATGAATCATGAATTGCTGACAATATAACACAGCTGTAATCATGAATATGACTTTTTATTTAACATAAACATGAAATACCGCTGGTAGGTTATCTTTGTATGTTAAGAATATTTACTATTGGATTATTTATTTATGATTTTTTTTTAGAGAATAAGAATATTCTAAGAATAAACCCTTCTTTTTTTTGCAGTAAAACCTTTTTATATCTTAAGCATACTTCCAGCCAAAAATCTAGTGTTTATGTACTACTTAGAAAGGCTAAAAAGAGGGGAAATACATAATAAGATGAGATATTCAAATTCAAATATTAAGCAAAGGAATAGTTATTTACCTCCACAGTGTCCGGCAGAGCAGTGTCCAGCATGGTGAGGACGGTCAGATAGGTGCCAAGGTAAGGAACCACTCCACTGGAGGTACTCTGCAGAGAGACATGCAAGCACACTGCCCATTAGATTACACCAGTTGTTTCTTGTGTCACTGTATCTGGTTATTTGAGTCTTTTAATTACTGTCATTAACTTTTCTTTTTTTTATTGAACGGGTAGAGATCAACATTCACACAAGGCAAGTCCCAGTTAGCAGCACCGTGGGTTCATGTTACAGCCCAGGAGAATGTGCATATGACTCATAAAAGACCCCAGTCTGGTCTATTATTACTGTCCTATAATCCTGGTGATCTGAGACCATTTGAAACTTGCACAGCACCAAGCGAGGCTAAAGATAGGTTTGGGCATCTGCCATGCCAGAGATACTCCACCCACACTGAGGGAAATCAGCTCTCTTGTTGCTTTTAGAGTTGTATAACGTGGAAGGGATTTTGCATGTGTCTTTTTGAAAAGTTGAAACTAAACACTGCCTCTGGCAATATGACTCTAGGAGAATATCACATGGAAAAAGGTCACATTTTGCATCATTCCTACAGTGAAAGAGAGCATTTTAACATGGTACAAAAGGGACATTGCTGCTTAGTGTTTAGGCTGACCTAGACCTCACTGATATATGGCACTGGGCTTCATCTTATGTCTTCAAAACATCTCAATCTTGTCTCATCCTGAGGTATGACTTACCATCTGTCTGGAGATCGGACACCGCTTGGATATCTTTGGAGAAATGTTACCCACAGTCACTTGGCCATCCTGTCAAAGTAGGTCAGACAGAGCTATATTCAGTTGTAGTTGCATAGATTGGCCCATTATCAAAAATAAGTGATTAAAATATAAAATGCACACAAGCATGTACAGGGGGGCTACGGATGTGAGCAAACTGCAAACTGGCTTATGATGCAAATTCTTCAATACAAGAAAAGGACTTAACTTGGGTATCCTGTTTAATAATTGTCTTTTGAAAGGAAGTCTTTCTCTCTTACGTCTTTGTATGTAATATCTGTCTAAAAGAACAGTGATTAGGCTTTAAATAAATGTATGAATGATTGTGTTTACACAGATAAAAGCTTCCTTAGTAAAAAGGCAATACCTAAATACAATAGTGAGAATTGAAAAGGAGGAGAACAAATGACAAAAAGGGAGACATTAAAAATCATTTCCCAGTGAAGAATCTCTTTGGATGTTATTGTGAAGCAGCAAATGCTAGTGCAAGCATTGGTTGTTGTGCGTACTAATCTAACCCTGATCTATTGACTTTTGAGTCCTTTCACTGTAACTAGACACAAGCCGCTTCTGACTCAGCTGCCTAGAAGAGACTACATAAAAGAAAAAAGGGAACACAATGTGCTTGAGGCCTCTAGTCTCCCATTAACACTCTGTTAAACATTTCTGTAAATATTAACTAAAGAATATGAATCTTTTTAATGATTAAAAAGAGAAATCCATGTACTTTGAGAAGACGATCATTTCCAAACATGTTTTCATGTGTCGTGTTTATGGTCACATAATGTCCTATATTAAAGACACAGTCTGTACATTTCAGTATTCAGTTCAAATAGCTTAAAAAAGGCTTTTTTTAAATCCCCAATCTTAAATTGACTGCAGGGACTGAAAGTATGTAACAGCTGCAGGGAGTTGACGTGTTTGCAATGGTAAACATTTACCCTTAGATGCATAGGTAGGTAAAAAATCACCTGTATACATTTCCTATGAAAATGTATAGGAATATCATCTTTTCCAGCCATATACAATATTTCTCATCTATCATTGTCACCACCAACACCTACATGGATTTCAATGGCTGACGCATCTGAAGGCTGACACTGTAAAAACGAATAAAACTGAAGTAAATCTAGCTTGTTTTTTATAGTTTCCTTCTCACCTCCACCAGGAGCTCTCTGTTGGTCAGAACACAGTTCTCATCAGGGAATGTTTCCCAGAGGTTATCAAACGTGGCCATGCTATCCCTGCAAAAAGAACAGAGACAATCTGTAAGTAAATGTGCTGCCATTTAGTCCAAAACCACATACTTTAAAATTGAACTATTATACACAATAAATTGTGTTAAAATGTTACATGTCACTACTCGGTTCATGACCAGCTGTTAAGACCATAAAGAGAACAACATGAAGTTATGCTTCAGTTATCCTTGACTTATAATAGTTTACTGCAGTGTTCATGACCTGACATTGAATATGGGTCATCCAAAAGCGAGATATTTGCTGACTTGCTGTCAGTGACACTGAATTGCACTTAATGAGGGTTCAATGTCCTCATTAAAGGACAATTATGTAGAACACAATATGAACATAACTATAGAGATGGACAAAGTGGTGGCATTTGGCTGTAACCCAACCCTACCTGCTAACAGCAGCCCAGGTCTTTCTCAGCCTGTAAACCGCATTAGACTGAAGGGCCGACAGGATCGCCCTGAGAGAGGAGAAGTTCTTCAACTGACGACAATCCTGCAGAAGAAGCAACTTTCATTCATTATTATTATTATTTCATTAAATACAAATCAAATATTCCAGTAACCATGTTTTACGTGAATATTTATTTTCCTCATATGAAAGGGAAAGTTAATGAAGCGCTTAAGAAGTTTTTTCTTATAAAGAAATATTGTAAAAACTTGCTAAAACACGGAGCTTAAATGCAACAAAATCTCAGATCTGACTGACCTGTGCTACTCTGATCCACTTCTCTATGATTCGGGCCCTTTGAACAGGTGTAGTAGGAGGCCGGCGGGAGGAAGTGGGACTTGAGGTTGCGTCTGTCGACTGGCAGAGCAGCGACATGATGACCTGGTTGGTAATGGCGTTGAACTGTGCAATGGTGGCTCGGATGGTGGGAGACATGTTTTCCTTCTTGTCTCTCTGCGACCACACACAGCCCAGACACTGGTACGGCACCACTTTGACAAACAGAGCCTGGAACGCCGTGAGAACCAATCATCAGCCTTTAATCATCAATGTAAAACAGAAATGTGGAACATTCAATATTTCCTTTCACGTACAGAGTCTATTTGGGTAAGCTGTTCGGCAATGGCTGTAGCAGAGAAATCCATGATGCCGCCTTGATCCAGCGGGTTTTCACACTGTGAATCCTCATCACCAGAACCCTCCTCATCTTGCTCCAGGTCTGCCTGGGCTGGACTGACTATTGTCTCAGCTTCTGAAGAAACACAGCATGAATGGAGGTAGTGAGCATGGCTTTTTGCAGGAGGATGTGTTGACATCTACCACAAAGGGGTGTGGTATATTGTTTATCACTTTCTATCATGTTATGTGGTGGAGGGTCACCTTCTTTCTGTAAGCTCTTGAGCAGCGTCTCAGCTTGCGCAGCCAGCGAGCAGAAGTTGGGCTGGGTGCGCATGTTGTTGTGAACTGCAGAGCTGATTCTGAGGTGATCCAACAACAGCCGGAGTGCCGAGTGCAGAGGAGGATCCCTGAAGTCTTCACTGTATTCATCCAACCATGTCTGGACAAAGGCCAACAGAGGGCTGAGGAGGCAGTGGAAAAATCATTACAGTTTAACTATTTAAAAAGACACACTAGAAATGAACCGTGTAAGGGTTCAAGTTCAGAGTTGTAAACTCAAAAGTCCTCCACCTACCTGCTGTAGCATTCACGGTTGTCCAGGTCTGAGGAAGCATTGTCTCTAAAGGGAGAAAAACTGATTTAGCCAAACTCTTCAGGCTGCTTTTTGTACATTTTAATCATTATTTGTTTCTGCCCTGCAGCGATCCTAAGCCTGACCTTGATTCATGCCAACCACAGTCTAAAAACTGCTCTGTACATAATTGTTGTTGTTGAAAGCCTCAAGATAATGAGCACCTGCTAGGTACTTATTATTACATCAAAGCTGGCGGGAGATGGTTGCTTTGTCAGGGAAACAATGTATAAAAAGACCCTGACGCAACACAGTGACTTTGCATGTGCAACAACCCAAGATGCTTTGCCAGAATCAAGAATAAAAGAGACAGCTCTTCACCTGTGGCTCTTCATGATGTTTAAAGAGGAGCCTATACTTTGTGATCAGGGCACGGTAACCACAGAAAGAGGCTGAACTATGCTAAAATGTTAGCAACAGTGCAGTGGCTGAAAGAAAAACAGGAACCCAATGTGGAAAGAAACTGAAGCAGAGTGTGTGTGAATGGACACAGGAATGATCATTTTAGGGACCCATTAAAGGACTAATTCAACATTTTGGGAAATATGCTTATTCGCTTTCTGGCTATTAGAAAATAGATACTACTTTCAAGTCTGTATGCATAATGTGGAGTTACCACGAGTGGCTAATTAGCTTATCCTAAAGACTGGAAACAGGGAAAAAGCGGTACACATTAGAGTGGTATGTCCCCCAAACTATTCCATTCAGAAACAGACAAAAGAAAGCATGCAGTGGTTGTACTGTACCTCTGGAAGAGCAGCTCTATGAGCTCTGAGGTACCAGTGAAGGTTCTGTATGTGGAGAGGAAGATCCTGCCGTAGTCCTGCTCCTGGCAGTCAGGGTCAAGGAGGTGACTCATAAGCAGGTCCAGGGTAGCAGCCTTCAGACGCCGCACCTTGCAGGTTCGGTACTGGACAAATGCACAGCATGGACTCGTTTCACTGGGGTTGGAGGAGGGGACGGGCTCCCGGCGCAGAGTGACCCCATAAACTGCACCGTCCTCAATCTCCTCACCCCATTCCTGCACTGGGTTCTGGGGATGGTAGAGGTGGGGAATAATGTTTAAGGTTTACAACGACACTACCGTCGAGGGAGTGGCTACCATCCTATGCCCTGCTTGTGTCTCGGAAATATACTGGTACGGGTCAAACACACAAATATATCTATTAAGTATTGTTACTGGTGACAACAGCAGGGTTAGGTTAGGCAGTACGGAGGTAAAAATAGCAGCAGGCCTCTATGGCCAAACAGCCAGGTGAACCTACACACACACACACACACGAACAAGTGACCAATCACCACTGAGACTCACACTGATCCCATGTGAACCACAACAACAACGTATTATTTGCTTATACTCATAACCATCATTCCAAAGCCTGCAATGAGTGCACAAACAGGTTAGTGTGTAATGATTATAATTATGCTGGTGTTAGCCACTGCTTAGTCTTCAATTCCACAATTTCCCTGCAACACAGCAACCTAAAATACTTCCCAGAATTTTAAGAGTTCACATGAATGTTTATGGACAAATACAGGATTATTAAAAGGTTAGTACATCCAATGGTACATCAAAGCAAAACACCCGAACAAATGCAAAACACTGCCTAAATGTCAGAGATCTCCCAGTTTCGATCACCGTCGCTCATCGTCGTCACAAAAAAAAGAGCCTTGTAGGACTTCAGGCTGTAAGCTCAGCACCAAGTGTCATGATTTTGTTCAAACACACTGGCATTACATATTCAAACAAGAAGTTAGACCTCGTTTGATCTCAGTGAGAGATATCAATCAGTGTTCAAACGCTCCTCCAGAATGCTCAACAGCACTCGACACGACATACACAAGGGAACGGGGTCTATCGAATGTGAATACTGAGCGTCTTGTTCAGGTTTTTACATTGTCTGAACTATAATGAGACAGCTGTGATGCATAATTTCAAAAAGGTCCAAAAGGAGCCAGTAGACAATATGTAATTTTTAACTGAACACTATGTGGATTATGGGGTCGCTGCTCAAAAATCAAGGTAATAAGACTTTATTTGAAATTTGTTTCCATTGTTGTCTTTGCATTTCATAATAATAGCAATACGTTCAACATCACCAGTACTTTGACCCGTAGAACACAAGATACGTATTGGAGCCTAAAGACATCGCTCTTTACCCTCCATTAAAGAGACAGTCAAGTGATTAAGTATCACGCTTTCAAAAAATGAAAAAAAAGCAGCTGTAACACAGGTCTTATTGTTATGAATAAAAGTTAACCCTAATGACATCGGGGTTTACAGAACAGAAGACATAATACAGCCATTTTCTTGGATTAAGTAGTGTTCCCCATAACAAGTAAACCAAACTTCACATGTAAAATTGGTGGATTGAGTGCTCCTTTAAATGCGTTACATCATAACACCAAGCGTGCATGACTCCTTTCTAATCCATCTGGTTTTTATGCAAATAATTCAAACATCTACACAGTGAAAGCAAGTAGATACTCGTGTGTCGTGAGCTTTTTGATCTCAGCCGTTCCATACAGCAACACATCTCCTTGAATCTTAAAAAGTAGTGTCTGTGAACCTGTTTTATGTCAAAATCATGTCCATATATACAGCAAGCATTATTGACCAAATACTGCCAAGGAGATGAAAGACACTGCCTGTGCTCATGATAATTATTGACATTCAATTATCTACATGAGAGGACTTGCATCATCTTATGTAAATGAGTATTTAAATGTCTTCATGTAAAGACAAATGCTTAGCTGCTGGGTTTGCTAGTGCTAACCGGTATCACACAAACCCTTTTGTCCCTCATAGGAACTAGGATCGTTTGTTGGTTACACAGACAGTAAACTGTTCATTGTGTCCTACTGTTCCTCAGGGTCAGAGATGGTGGTACTAAGCACTACTAACAGCCAAATCTAAATATAACAGTTTAATATGAATGAAAAAAGCTGATCATGGAGCAGCAATATGACTCACCCGTCCTAACTGGCACAGACTTAAACACAGTTAAGCAGCCTCAGTTGGTGTCATGTATTAACATTACATTTTATGAAAAGTTAATAAATGCCCTGTTGAAGGAGGTTGAAAGACGGTCAACACTTACGGCTGTTTCCAGAATCCTCAAAGAAAAAAATATTCAATCTGCTGTTTGATAAAAAAGATTTCTAAGTTTCTTCTTTTTTTCCCCTCAATCCAAACAAAGACAGGAGCTGACACACAAGACATGTCCTCGCTCAATTTGTACATCCTGAGCCAAAATGAACATTTTTAAAATTTGTTACATTTCTGACATTTCCAACATTTTTTAACATCTTAGAAAAATAAAATGTCAATATTCTGCCAAAGTTTTACACAAAAAAGCAGGGATATGTAATTTCTGGCAACCTAGAAATGGAAATATCACTAATAAGAATATTTCTTACTGCTGCCAACTGTAATGTAAAATTGGAGACACAAACTGAGGCTGTGGACTGCAGAAACAACACATCAACTGTGATCAGTTTACAGATATTATAAAAAATGTTACAAAGTAAGAGCCAACTGTATGTAGACCCAGGAAGGACTTTACATATAAATCAGAACAAAATGTATTCGCATCTGTTACATTACAGAAACTAACCCATGACTAATTGAAATACATTACATTACAAACAATGTTCAGACTTTACTGTGTAGCTGACTTCATGTATGGATCACTGTATTCTTGAATCATATCAAACAGTTCTCTTACCATTGTTAACTCCCATTTTCCCATCTCGTCCGCTCGACTAAGGAGTGCTTTCCATCTTAACAGGAATATTTGGACTGAAAATCAACTTCCACCTTGCGAGACACTAAGTTTAGGGCTGCATCTTGATTCAACAAAAAAATTGATTGATTGTTTTTAAATGCTCTTGTTTGGGACTACATTAACGCGCCTGTATTCCAATTACAAAGACGACTTTCACTGCAGAGTATTCGCTACATTTTATGCCTGCATACAAATATGTAGGATTGTTCCCATGTGACGGAAACAGATCTAAACTGTTCCGACTTGTTTTCTGTCTGTGCATAAATTACTTGAATCCACCGGAGCCCGCAGACAATCTCCTCGGCTGAAACTCACTGAGCTTTATAGTGGGAGGCGACCTATGCTGCTGCTGCTGCTGCTGCTGCTGACTGTAGGAGGAGTGACAGGAGGAGTGACAGGAGGTGTGGGTGGCTGGGTGGGGTAGGAGATGTGTGTGGGTGGGTGGGGTGCTCTGGTGTCAGTACAGTATGGCAATGATTGTCTTACATTTCAAAGCAATAGTTAAAGGAAATGCACTATAGATCTACTTATTTGCTTTCTTGCTGAGAGTTAGATGAGAAGATTGGTCATGTTGCAGTAATAATGAAGCTACAGCTGGTACTTTGGTTAGCTTAGCTTAGCACAAAGACTGGATATAGGGGGAAACAGCCTCTCACATTTGGTGACCATTGGTTTCTGCAGCTACTAGATAAATTAATGAAGTCATTTAAAAATAGCTGCATGTGACTGTCATCTTGGTTTTGATTTAGATTTTTTATTTTTAACAGAGGTGCAACTTTGGAAATAGGTTCAATTTTTTTTTTTTAATACCCAGATAGCAAAAATCATGTGGCCCAGATAAATTAGAAGTTCTGGGCTGGATCTGTAAAACTGACCGGTTTTTAAATTACATTCTGAGTTCTTTAAGCATCGTCAGTTGTAACATTTAGGACGCTCTATTGGCAGAAATTAAATATAATGTTTCTACAGTAGCCCAGAATAGACAAACCAAATACTGGCTCTACGTAGGGCTTTTCTTGAGTTTCGTAGCCACCATAGTTTCTTCTACACATTTCACAGCCCGTTCTCATTCCCAGGTCGTCAAATACAGACGTGTTCAGTTAGTTGTGACCTGCAATTTCACTGCTAGATGCCACTAAATCCTTCACACTGGTCCTTTAAGTAAATGTTGTTGCCAGTGTTTCTGTACTGTACTTCCACCACTGTACTAGACAAACTAACTCAAAAGTTTGTTCTCATATATGTGAACTTAAGTTTACACAGTTGTGATTGTTGCATGTTAGACAATGAATGGCTTCTAAACTAGTTGTCACGACATTATTTAGTTCAGTGTGTTGCTCAAGGATATTTTAACATGCAGTGGGAGGAGCCAGGGATCGAACCACCAGCCTTCTGCTTAGCAGCCAACTGGTTCTATCTCCTGCCTGTGTTGTTTCATGTCGTTGTTGACTGGCCCAAAGGGTTGTCAGTGCACCTTTCCTGGAGAACATACTAATTGACATTTTTCAAGTCCTCCTGTTGTTGGTGGGTGGTTGGAGGTCTTCTTGAAATACAACAACACAAGCACAGACAAATGTATTGAAGTTGAGAATGGTAAAACGTTGTTGGGATCATATTGCTGTCACCACTAGTGATCTATAACATTGATAAGATGACAGTAGTACGCAGGTGAGATCATAGATTTCTTTCTCTTACACACTGAATGCAAAGTTAAAACTCCTGATGTATTTTGTTACTGCACAGAGGAATGTAAGTTACATAAATAAATGATAATACCGTTTATATTGCACATTAACAGATTAATCTGAATAAAGACAACAAAAAGTGTTTTGTCCTTCTAGATGATTTTTCCAATGTCGAAAAAAAAAGTAATGATGTCATAATTATGTCATCGGGGTTATTTTGGCTCAGGCTTGGAGGCAACAAAAACATTTAAAAAAAGTTTCTGTTACAAACTGGAGATGTGGAGTTTAAAAGATGTGCTTGTTTACCAATAAAGGTACTATCCAGTTGCATTATGGGAAATGTAGGATCCAGTGCATTTGGAGCTCAATCCAGACTGTGGACTAAAAGTCAGGATACCTCAGGCTGCTTCAATTTTGCAAATTCTTTTTCGAATCTAAGTCCCCTAACTTTACGGAAGTGCGATACTAAATCACTGGAGTACCCAGTCTGTGCCGTCTGTGACTTGATTCACACTGGCCCAAAAATACTTTTACCCATAAGCCTACTTTGATTTTGAGTGTCACAACCCTGGCAAAATGAATTGTTAAACTATCAGAATGTATCCTCATTCAAGTTAACAGAGGGCTAAACTGGAAGTTAACCAGCTCGGCCTGCGGAAGTCTCTGGTGTATAAATTAATGTCTCTTTTGGCTTTGTGCACTACTGAGCAATTTTCATAGGAATGAACGGAGCGCTGTATCCAGTTCTGTTTATACAGTCATGAATGTGACTGTATAAAGACTTGCACTGCTACATTCCTATTCAAACAACATTTTTTCATGATTGCCAGTTATGATGAAAACCATGTTTAAACCTATTTGTTTTTGTCCTTACCATAAGTTCAGAGGCAAGTAAAGAAGAGAAAGCCACCAAAGCCTCATATTCTCTCCTATATAAATTAAGTATAAAAACTCAGCATTATCATGGATTTTAATGGGATTTAACACTGCAGGAGATAATTTTTGCACTTTCATCAGCTCTCCCTCTATCTGTCTTGCTTCTTATCTGCCTGTCTGTCTGTTACATGACAGTCTCTGTCTGTGTTTCTGTCATAAGACTAGTGGTCCTTGCTTAGAAGCAACTTTTCTTTTTGCTCTCAAAATTATGAAAATGACAAGATGTTTGTGGCCGGTACAGTGGTTTGTTCTTTGAGGAAGTACTGGCAGCTACGGGGATGGGCGCTAGGTGTGACACAGCGAGAAGAGGATGTTCATTAAACAATAATGGTGGCTCCTATAGAAGTTGCTGCTAGCATCAGTTGTATCAGAAATGGAGAGTATTTATTCCTACATTGAAAGAAGAGCAAAGAATGGCACTGAAAAGATGTTTTCTTCTTCTCTACGTTATACTGTTTATTAATCTGATTGGTTGGCGATTGCTCGTGATAGATGGTGATAGATGGTTCGTCCAATCACCTGCTGAGGATTTTGAGCACCTGCCCTTTTCCAGACAAATACCTTCTTGATTATTCTGTGTAACAAACCATCTGGCACAATCAGGTTAATGAAAATCACAATTTAATAAAACCCTGACGCAGATCACCTGTGAGTGTGTGTGTTTGTGTGTCTGTTTAATGTTTCAGGCAACAGGTCACAATCTGACCTACATGATAGCAGGTTTTCCAAGAAAATGAAAACATGCTTTACTTTTCTATGAAAGATGGTTGGAAAACAAACATCACATGACAATATTCATCTCACCCTGAACCACTGAGGTGGAAGTTGTCTGAATAACCATAAAGCCAAATGTTTTAATCTTGGGTTACAAATAATTTAATAAATACTCGTGCATGCATCATACGCCAAACGGGTCATATTTAAATCTTTTGTCTTGACAGTAGTTCTGAAACACCTGACACAAGCAACGTTCATGTTTCTCTTCACCTAAAATCTTGGTACAGATTTAGTTTCCATTATTCGGCCCGAACAGTTATGCCACTGTATTGAACGCTCTGATGCTTTTAGGTGTGGTTCTTCCCTCGAGTCCCTGTCATTGTTGATAGTGAAGGCATCATTAGCCCAGGCTGTAAACACAAACAGGACACCATACAGTACCAACCCTACCTACACCTGCTATTAATATGTCATCTCTTTTAATATATTGGGTAAGTTCAAAGTTCTGTTTGAGCAGACATTGCTCATTTGGATTTGAGTAGGCCAGACTATTATGAAGCGTTTGTATTTAAAGAACAATTAATCCAGTTTTTCCTGTAAAGTTTAACATTATCAGTGGAGTTGAAGGATAACATAGACATCCTGAAAAAGACCAAGAGTCTACAGCCATGCTAGCAGCTCTGTTAGGCTGTACTGTACAATGTCAATATGTTGATGTTTAGCAGGTAATTTTTTACCATGATCACCATCTTAGTTTAGTTATTGTTAACATGTTAGCATTTGCTAATTAGCACTAAACAAAAAGTAAGCCTACAGTGAAGGTTTAAGTATTTTGTCATAAACCAAAATATATAATAATAGAAAGTATTTATAGTATTTATAATATAATATATAATAATAGAAATTGTTGATCTGATGATCATTTTAGATTAAAAGTTATTATGATTCATCCTGAGGGGAACCAGTCGGTACCAGATTTTATGGCAATTTATCCAATAGCTGTTAACACATTATACTAAAAAACTTAAAGTTTCAACATCATGAGTCAGGATTGATCCTCTGGGGACCACGAATGGGAAAGTTTAACCCTTAAGAGTCATGCCACTAGCATAGCTTAAACATAGGTTACACACTACACAATCTGTAGGTATTTCACTGTTGAACACATTTTCACATCTGCATGCCATCTATCAAGAGCTCTTCAAATTGTGCAAGAGCCGTTCACAGAATATTTTCACGTCGGCTTTCTGCTATCTGAACCCCTGTCAGATGTGATGCAGTACTTGGGCCAAATAAGAGCATTTATTACTCTGGCACACCCATTAGGATCAACAATATTGACTGACGGACTCCAGATAGGTGATTGGTATCCAACGTCAAAGAATGGCAACGGACAGAGAAGGGTTAAACAATGAGTCCCTGTTGCTATCAGAACAAAATATGAACTAAAAATCTCAGAAAATTCATAGAATTCAGGTATTTGGTGAATGGATTCAGGAATTCAGAGGAAGGCTGACGCACAGTGTACAGCAGAGCTAAGGAATGCAGACAGACAGTTCTTTATCAACACATGACAGGAGACAAAAACCTTCAGAAACTCTTGGCATTCGTGAGCATGATGACAGTGGCCTTTATGGCCAAGCATTAACATGAAAGTATGTTCATCGACAGTTCATGCTTCAGAACATTTGCATTTGTTCGAAGTTAAATGTTAAAATGACCAATCCTGTCATTCTAAACATCAATGTTATAAAGTTTACACCAGGGTTTGATCTATGGGGCATTTTAGTGTCTTTCAGAGCATTGTTTTGGTTTGACCGTGGCTAAACTATCGTTTCCTGCCTTAGAAGCTCTGATTAACCCACCAGATTTTTCTGTTCTTATTTCCAGGTGATTATAGACTAATG